TACACAGCGAAATGCAACATTTACGAGTCGATGTGATAAATGTACAAACGATAAAGTAAACGACAGTGTTCCTAATACCCAGTGTCTGTATAAAATTGCTTTACTAACACCATCCGTCAGTCTATAAAGTTTCTTTACTGCGAAAGGCTACACAAAGTTCACGCGGGACGGGTGAGGGGGATGTAAGAAAAAATGGTAAGTGGTACAAAATGATTTAATAATGAAACGATAACGAAATTTAACTTTTACCATCGCAGTGTAAGATAACTACGTTATTTGTTTATATATTTATTATTGTTTAAATAACAATTTGTGTGTGTTTCGTTCATACATACATTCTGCCTACAAATTTGAATTTGTATATACTTTTTCCCGACTGAAAATCAGCGTTGGAAACCATATTTCCAGCATTATGCTGAGGTTTGGTCCACATCTGTGTTGTAATTTGTGTGTTTATCTCATATAGTTATATATGTTATGGGAGGTAATAAATTCCATTCTATTGTTATTTATACATATCAAACGAATAGCTACAATATTTTAAATCTAATTCTACAATAATTTTAATCTTAAGTCGATTATAAAAAATATTAAGTTTTCTGCCAATACTGTAACGCAAAAGAAGGTAGAGTTTTTAGTAATGAAGTTTGTTAGTGGTCTTATTGACCTCCGTATTGACCTCCACGAGGTCCAATATTAGGGGTGTAAAAATTAAATACCCGTGTATCCGGGGTAGACGTACCAAGGTAGACTTTTTACAAAGTCACTTTCATGGGCACCTTAATTTCACATATTTTACATGTGTTATAATTTGGTAGTGAAATTGTACGGTATATAGCTATGATATCTTAATCCGTATCCATAACTGATAAGACAATGTCTGTAGTGTTATTAATAACTAATGTATTGAAGTATATATGCGACGGTTACCACTTACCAACAGGTGAGTCCTCACCCCGTAAGTCAACAACAATTACGTTGTTTTTTTCTATTAAAATTCTATAAATACTCTTTGTTGCACTTTAAATAGTAGCTTAAAATAGTATATGTATATATTAAAAATAATGTAAGCAAGGGTGAGATTATCTCTGCACGCAGTGACTTATTTAATAATTAGTGAGCACGAGTGTTGTACAGATGATATAAATAGAATAACTATAGTAGAATATGATCAAGAAATTTATATAATTAAATGAGATATAAATGTATATTTTAAATACTATAATAATTGTATATTAACATAACATATAGAGAATAGTATCTGTATATCCTAAACTAAATAAGTAGATATAAATTCATTATAATCAACTTGGAAATATACCTATCTACTAAGATTATGTATTTATTGTACAAGTAAAGTAAAGTAATGCAGAGCGACATCTTCTAAAGTAAGTACTCCTATGTATGCAAAAGAAAGAATCGCATCAGATGTAATGTTCAGTGATCTATCAAGAAACAAACTTAGTGATCCCGGGAGTCACTCCAAAACTCCGGATTCACTGAAAGCCGCAATAATGCATATTCAATGAGAAATGGGAATTTTTTGAGTGCTCCCGACTTTGTAAGTTATGTTGATTCTCTTAAGATATTTGTTTTGAGTTTTTGTTACGTGTATCTCTTGGCTTTTAGATTTTCAATAGACACCTTCAAATAGAAAGGAAACGCGTCTTTTTAAAATACTTTTATCCTTTGCGCTATTCGTGTGGAATACAGCGGTTGTTACTTGCTGATAATTTATCTTTTTATAATTGAAATAATTTTAAATACCGCTCTTGCACTTTCTGTTACAAGTCTCAGTAATCTACTACAAACAATCAGAATTAAACAGACATGTATAGACAAAGGCAGCTAAATACCATAGATTAGTAAAGTTATTTTATTTTTACTCTGTGTTCAAATATAGATACTGGGGATAACAACAGCTTAAATTACTATTTTATAATTTAGAAATTTATCAATCCTAGTCAATTATAGTAATCAACGATATCAGAGATACATTGCATATAAAAAAACTTATTATATTATAAGTAAGTAGGTACATAACAAGATAATAAAAGTCGTGATGAATGCCTGGTGAATTCGAACTCATCTTCACTTCACACTCCACTGGTGCTCAGCCAGCGTAACCCGTTGGCGCAGGACGCAATTCCATTATCATCGATTAAAAAAAACAAACAGACTATCCATACGACATCCATCCAACTCTTAATCTAAACTAATATTAAACCTACAGCTGACGCAATTACTGTTTTGTTTAAGGTACTAATCTCTGCTGACTACTATTTAGAATTGAAAAATTTTGTTAATGTTCGATAACCCTTAAATTCATGAAATATGTGGTGTATACGACATGAACCTACCACCAATAGGAACAAAGCATAAATGTTGCATAAATAGATAAAAATTATTCCTTCTCACTTTCTGTCTGTCTTATGTAACGCAGCCGAAGTTGTGCAGTATTACTAGAAACAATATGTGCGAGTAAAGTCGCGGTTTTAACTAGATAATAAAATTCAAACGGTGTTCCCGACTAGTTTGTGAAACCCTTTCAACCAGTCACGTTCAACAAACCGTCGAAACAACTAACCAGATTTATCTCTGGAAACTTTTATTGCGTTCCGTACTACTTATATGGTATATCGAATCTGGACCTCCGAAAACGAGATAAACAATATGTTTTACCATGGAATAAATATATGCAGTAATATTTATTCTATCGTAAATTCGTAAGACTTATTTTTGCCGAGATATATTTTATAGCTGACCCGCGGAACTTCATCTACATCATTGACATTTATCGTTATATTTCGCGTAATTTATATAATATCTTTTTAAATTGTAGCCTATATGCTATTCTGATGTTTAAGCTATATTACTGTAAAGTTTCAACAAAATCCGTTCAGTAGTTTTTGCGTGAAAGAGTAGCCATCCATTCATCCATAATCAGAAACTTTCGCGTTTCTGGTATTACTTTATTGTATTGTTTACGGATATATTTTTGTCGAAGTATTATTTATACGAAGTCGTGTTCTTGGATATTTTTTTCAGCAGACAAGTAGCTTACTTTGTAAGGTATGTTTTCATTAAAGGGCACGGAGGCATGAAAACATTGTCTTCTGAAATTGCATCGCATGAGTGGCAACACAGGTGTCACATAAACGACAACCTTAAGGGCGCTCTAGTATCTAATAATTAATAGTTAACTTGTATATGTATAATGTAATTCTTAGCCTGAAAGGGTATATCCATGGCCGTAAAACAACTCAATAAAAACATAAGTGAGTGACGTCAGTGGTGTATATAGGCGACGGTTACCACTTTATTTTTTCTCTTTTTCTGGCTTGGCACCTTTTTAATACTTATAATACTTACCATAACGAAAATCAACAGTATATGATACATTAAAAAATACATTATAAATACATAGAGAAAAGAATTCAGTCCATTTTTAAATCGACTTAGATTTTTTTTTTGTTGATGATAATGGAATGGTGCACCCGCCTACGCTAACGGTTTACGCTGGCGGGGCACCAGTGGTGGATGATAAGATGAGCACGAGGTCAGGTCAGTTAGCTCATCGTGACAAATTCACCAGGAATTTAACACGATGGATTCCAGCGGGAACCGCGTGGAGGTCGACCTGTCATGGTACGTTGCTAGCAATGGGGTTATCAATCCACATTACTAACAATCCCCTTCCCTCCAATCAACTTAGATTTGTCCGCGAAAAATTATTTCATTCTTATAAATAAGTATCACAAAAAAAAATACAGAAACAAATAAATTATATTTACCTGGGTAAATAAAAATAAACATTTGTATTTTTCATTTTGTAAACAAATTTTCATGTTTTGGTTAGTATTAGTCAATTTTTTCCTGTCAATTAGCCATTTGAGCTCTTTTCTTTTCTGTCTTGATTCATTAGAGCTGAACTAATAAAGAAATTTATTTAAAAATAGAAATTATATTATTATTATTTTTATTATAGTGTTTGTCTAATACTCTCGCAAGTATTTATAAATTTGTTTTAAATAAATCAGATACCATCATCATCATCCCAATGCAGTCCACTGCTGGACATTGGCCTCTCCCAAGGCACGCCGCTGAGCGCGACCTTCAGCCCTTGTCTGTTAAAAATGTCTGATACCGAATAATAAATATATAATAAAATAATCAATGTAGTTTAAAATACAAAATATTTCATTTTATATTGTGTAGGTAAAATAAAATATATTAGTATTTTATGTTTGAAAATAATATTTATTCAATAAACTTCTACACATATTTTTACATAGATACACAAAAATAATTATAATTGAACATCTTTTATTGAATTGTCGAAGTTCTATATTAATTTTCTTAAATATATATTATTTACATTATTTTTAGTCCTTTTTATAGTAAATATTTATGGAATATTATTTTTATACTTTTATTTAATATATTTATATTTGCCACAATACAATTTACATTTAACACAACTTGAATTCGGTCAAAATTCTACAACCACAATTAATAATATAAAAGAGATTTATTTTCATTAATATGTTTGTCGATATTAATGTGTACTATAAGTATTAATTCATTTTTCATGCCAGCATGTACGTACACTTATATTAATTCTAAAATAACAAATACCAACATTCTAAAACAATACAATATTTGAGCGAAATTATAAAATAAAATCATTTATTTTGGCAACATTATTTAATTGCGAAAACAATTTTATTGGATCCTTCTTTCCAGTACAATCATACACATTATAAGAATATTTTGTTTTAACTATTCTATGCTCTCACTTTATAAACTTAAGAGAAGAATTACTTATTAAATTAAGAAAAAAAGCATACATTCCATTTTTTAATTCGCAATTTATTTGTCCGCAGAAATAAACAACGAATGAATTTTAAATAAAGAATAAATAATTCCATTTACAAATACAAGGATTTGAAAATGGAATTATTTTTTAAATACATTAAATTTTCTCTATTTAATGTCTAACCACAGAAAATTTTTATATTTACTATACTTATTAGAAATCGGTAGGTAACCAGAAAATATTAAACATTAAAATGTATCTCAGTATTCTCAAAGAACCGTCATCTGAAGTCACTACGAAATATCAATACAATTTTACACAAATAAATACTGATTTGTATATATTCATACGCTCTAATACCTCACATTATAGTCACTCAATGGAGTCTCTATAAGCACAGTTTCCGTGGTCTCCTGGCCAGCAGGAGAGGCGGCTTGCATAGCTGATGGACGCAGCGAGATAGCAAGAGGTAGGGCAGACCTAGCACATAGCTGGGACGCCCCACGAGTTGACCCAACTGAGTGGTAGCGGGTGCAGCGGCCCCGTCTGTTACAATAGAATAAAACACCTATTAATTCTTAAGAAATATATTAACAATAATAATCTTTACATAGTATAAATTGAAGTCGTTTTCGCTGTCTGTTCGCTTAGGTCTTTTTAAACTACGCAACAGATTTTTGATTTACGATACAGAATTTACCAATAGTGTGATTCAAGTTGTTTATATGTAGGTCTCTAACACATCCCTACCAAGGGGTGTGTAGCTAGTAAAATATAAGGTAACGAACAAACATTATTACATCTTGTCAATGTGGACTTTGCTCATTATAATAACGGTAGCACGGACGCTGTTGATTGTTTTAATACGTAGTAATATTACGAGTATAAATGTGAAAATGTGTGCTTTTTGTCAAGTTCTATGTATATTTTGTTAGTAGAGGACTTAAGTGTGAGTTTTGAACTTAAATGCTATCGTCTTAGTTGATTTTTTATTGTATTAATTTACTTATAAATGCTATAACAGTATTGCAGTGTGGGTGGACTCACCGCCTCCTCTGATTTGGAGACCGTTTTGTCTCGTTTATTACTTCAAAATTATATCATATATTGCAATTATAATAGTTTATTATTTGAAACAAATAAAGATGATTATTATTATTGTCTGTTTTTTTGTTACTTTTTAACAGTAAACTAATTGTTTTCAGTCGTTTAATTCTGTGAATTTCTTATTGAGAATTTTAATGGCTTTTTCCGTTCGTTGCCTCCTTTTTTGTTCTTTTAACACAATTGGCATTTATAGATATAGATATGCATATGCATTATCTTATGATTATAAACGCGTAACATATTCAATTATTCAATAAATCAAAACGATATATAATATCCATACTTGATAATAAGAATATAAAAATAATAAGATCCAATTTCATGTTTCGATGTGAACAAATGTAAGGAATTACTTTCGTATTTTTTTACGTAAACCAATTTTCTTGTGCTCATTATTTTGTTTGTATACAGTGTCAAATTATAATACCGCTCCAATTTGACCCAATTTACCTTTCCCTTTCAAGTAGGTAATACATTGAATGTACACCTGTTCATTTTGCGTCGATTTTTTATACTGTATATAATAATAATAACCCCAGAGAATTCACACAGCACAATCTAGTGAAAAACTATCAAAGCATCAAAGAATCAAAAGCATTGATTATCTATACTATATACAAGCTGTACACGCGACTTCGTCCGCGTGGAATTTAAATTTATTTTTCCAACAGACAGACAAAAATTGATAAAAATGTTATTTTGTTGTATGTACCGTATTCATATACATGTAGTAAAAACAGTTATTTCAATATTACGAACAGACACTCCAATTTTATTTATATGTAATATAATAATAATAATAACCCCGAACAATTCACTCAGCGCCATCTAGAGTCAGGCTAAGTAGACCTTGTTTTAAAATAACCCTGAGTACAAATGTTTTACATCGCATGAGGAATCAAACTCGCGACCGTCTGGAGTAAAGCAGTGTGCTAAACAGATGGACCACAATTTTTTTTTGTGCATATACGTATTTCGAAAAGATATATAGCCAAATATTGTATGTACAGGTGTAAGGCCTCAGCGGTCTAGCGGCTAGACTTGTGGTTGTTTAGCACCCACCTTTACTTCCGATTGTCGCGGGTTCGATTCTTCGCTCGGTACAAATATTTGTCTTCATGGGTATGCATGTTGGTATCGTACTGAGTATTTTCTATGTATATTATGCATGTATTAAAAAAATGTATTATATAAGTTATCTAGTGCCCATAAGACAAGATCTACTTACCGAGGTACTAAATGACGCTTTGTGAATTGTTTAGGGATATTATTATGTATATTAAAATAAAAAGTCAGGTAGATTACTCATGAAAGTGAATCACTTTGAACAAAAAATTACGTAAAAATCCTTATAGCATATAACTTTCATAGAAACTTAATTACAGCGCCGCGCAGTTTGTATTAAGATTTTTCCTTGATTATTTAGAACTAGTTCGCTTCCTGTAGCTTCGTGTGCCTCCTCGTGATACAATCTATTTTCACCTTAAATTTCATTAAAATCGTTCTGCTGTTTAGAAGTACGGTGTGTAAACATTGTTTATTTGAAAAAATATATGACAAAAAGTATTCCAGGTGTTGATAACTTTATAAATATATTTTTTCTAATTTAATGTCAGTAAACATCTTATCTATTTAGTAATAGATACACTTACAGTGGTTACAAATTGTAACTGCTTAACAAGTATACTAACAAAATGTTGTATCAATGGTAGATCAAACTTTTTCATCAGTGCTTTCAGAATGTTATTGGAGCTACTGCGCATTCTGATGAATCTTTATTCTATGACTTTTATGCTGTGATTAGAATAAAAACTCTTTACTTTTTATAAAAGTCATCTCTTCGTCCAAGAGCGAATATGCCACTACAGGAACGCAGCAGTTACGTTACTATTATTACTACGAAAATAACATATGTCGCTCTTGAATAAAGTACTTTTCAAACAACAAAACAATTTCTCAAATTGGTGCATTGGTGCCTCCAAAGTTTGCTTTCTTATAGCAAAATACGCTCTCACACTTTATAATATTAAAATGGATATTATTTTCTCACTAAAACACTTGGAAAGCAAATCCCTGTAAGAAAGTGAAGAAGAATGAACATAAAGGTAGCAGACAGAGGGACTGGCAAACGAACTGACATACATTTATTTATATATTTATATACACACTATCCTTACAGACATATGCCCAATACAACAGTGCATCCAATATTACAACAGCGGTTTGGTAACATAGCATATAAAATACAATGCGGTCCTTGTGAATTCACACAGAGTACACACAAATAAATCCGTTCGCTTTATAATATTAAGTAGAAACTTTCCACTTAACTTCTTAGGGAAATTTGATCAGCATCCATGAATACCTATATGTTTTCTAATGTGTCAACAAACAATTTGAAGCGAAGCGGTGATATTATTTAATTCTCCTCATACTCCTCTATTTCATCCGTCATACTCGTGAACGAGTGCTGCTTGTAGGGACTGGTCTGCTCTTATCACTACGACTGATTTAATCTTATTGCATGATTATATTTGACCCAAAAAATTAGTGCTTGTTGGTAGTTTGTATTCACACGTTTCGACTTGTAAATGTAAACTTACAAGGATTATTTAAAAGAGCAACACACAAGTTTCTTGCTCGTTCTTCTTGTGATGAGACAGCTTTCCGAACGAGTGGTAGATAAAAAACAAATTGTTATGACTATTCAAAAGTGCTTAAATTAAGTTTATTTGAATAAATGATTTTCTATTCTATTCTATTCTATTCTCGTGAACTTACATGATATTATGACTTACTTCATGTTGCCTTCCGTCTTATTTTAAACTTAAAACAACAAAACTACAAATCAAAAAGGGGAAGAGCCAACATAACATTTGAAACGGAAGCCTCAAGGTTACGGAGAAACCTGACTTCGCAGTTTTGGATACAATCCAAACACAAAGGAAAATATACGGTATGTAGTAGTTACTTAGTATGATGTGCTTCGGTTGAAGGGTAAGATAAGGCACTAAAATTACTGCCATGTCACGTCTGATTCAAATATAATCAGATTTATAATAATAATAAAATCCAGTACAAATAACTTAGCGCCATCTAGTCCCAAGCTACGTAAAGATTGTCTTATGGATACTAGACAACTGATAGATACACTTAAATTTATTTTTATAAATGCATATGTAATATATATATAAAACATCGAGGTGCGAGGAATCGAACCCGTGACTATTACAGGTAAGGCAGTGTGCTATACCGCTACACCACTAAGGCCGTCGTTGTGGATATCAGTTACAACTCGTTTTATTTGAGGAACATACTTTTTGACGGCCTCGGTGGTCCAGCGGTTACTTCACAGACCGACTTACTTCCGATAACTAGTATATATATATATATACTAGGTGTCCCTGTGGTTTCACCCGCATGAAATTTTTAGCGTATATGTTATTCTGATCTATAAGCTATATTACTGGCGTGAAACAAACAAACATCCATCCATACTCACAAACTTTCACAATTATAATATTAGTAAGATTCAGATTAAGATGAGTGAAATTACAAAGTATGAATCCACTACCATATACGGAAGTAGATCGGAAAGACCATTAGATCTCTACCGGCGGAGAACAAAACAAAGATGTCTACGACATTCGCCAACTTCTTGTAGAATGCATTTGCTGTAGAAGTTAATCAGAGAAAGATACTTTACGTACCTGTTACAGTGACATCTCAGCAGCCTCAGGAACGCCCCCCTGAAGGTCCTGTTGAAGACAGTGTAGATGATCGGATTTATAGTGGACGACACGTAGCCCAGCCACAGGCAGATGTCTACCACATGTTCTGTATACAAAAACAAAGTCGTTAATTTTTTTTTATGAAATTAATATGGCAAAGGAACTGACGATCTACTTGATGGTAAGTGATAATCGTTGTCTAAATAGAACAGAACTACGGAGACTCATGTGTTAACATTCCAGTAGACTAATATGTTATACTTCTCATTCTGTACTACTAAATTGCTATGGCGAGCGAACTGACGATCGATACTCGATGGTAAGTGGTGTAAGTGGTAATCGTTGTCTATATAGAACAGAAATACGGAGACTCATGTGTTACCATTCCAGTAGACTAATATGTTATACTTCTCATTCTGTACTACTAAATTGTTATGGCAGACGAAATGACGATTGATACTCGATGGTAAATGGTAATCGTCGCCTACATAGCACAGACCTATGGAGACTCACGTGTTACCATTCCAGTAGACTAATATGTTATACTTCTCATCCTTTACTACTAAATTGTTATGGCAGACGAAATGACGATTGATACTCGATGGTAAGTGATAATCGTCGCCTACATAGAACAGCACTACGGAGACTATGTGACATTTCAGAAAACTAATATGTTATGCTTCTCATTCTGTATTACTACGGCTAGTCGTAGTCTGCTCGCCGAACAGTCAAAATTAGGCTTCCAAAATACCCGAATTTAGGGCAAAAAAAACGTATCGCAATATGTATATATAATAATAGTCGTAATTTGATCACTAATAGGGAAGGACATATCGGTTCCAGTATCCAGGCTTTATCTCAGGACAATTCATTCAGCGCCATCTAGACTCAAGTTAAGCTACCTAAAGCTTGTGTTATGGGTGTTAAATAACTGATTCGAATATATAATTTTTTTTTTCGTAAATACATACATATTATGCATAGACACACCTAGACCGACACAAACAATCATAATCAATGAATACAAATGTTAGCGCCGTGCGAGGAATCGATCCCACGACCATCTGAAGTAAGGCGGTGTGCTACATCGCTAGACCATCGAGGTCGTTGTATGAGTGTATTATTTATTTATGTATTTGAATAATCGTCAGTAAATGGCGTCTATAACATACAGGCGGAGGAGTGGCTAGCAAAAAAGAAAAATTAGTAGTACCACAGATAACATAATATTACATACAGATACCCCATCCCATACAAGAAAATGGTTCCTTCCTAACTCGGGCTATTCTTCGGGCTATTTTATTTCGCCACCGTAGCCGCTAGATGTCGCTAGATCTGAAGCAGTTCGGATTACTAGTGGGTGCTTAGTAACAAAGCATGAAAATAGATGGCAGTCAATTCAGTCTACATGACATCTGTTTTGCAAAGATATGTATATAATAGATATGTAGGTAACTGTATCGTGTACCTCATTAGGGACGATTCAAGATTCAATGTAAATGTGTAGGTATAATATCGTTAGCCGACACTCTGCAGATATGGCTTATGTGCCAATATATATACCTATTATGTTATGGTTTATTTTACATTCCATGCCTATTTTTTTGATATGTTGTAACGCGTCTGCGCTATACGTATAGCCCGATTTTGATACTTTTATACTCGTACGTATCAAAATCGGGCTATATGATTTTTTATTTCAATCGTTATGTGTAAGAGACTGGTTTTAGCTACAATTAATTTACTGGTATATACCTCATGTATTCTACGATGTACCCCTCTTTTCCCTAATGAGAATTCCGCTATATCTTATATATAAATTTTGTATCAGTGTTAGTTGCCATATTTCTCCCACATTTTGATGAAATTTGATATGTATACTTGCCAGGTCTGAGGTAGGGTTGTTATCTATTTTTTATACCCCTAAGTCATAGGGGTGGCCTACCCCGAAAAAATATTTTTTTGTATTATGGACAATTTTTTATTTATTTATAATGTTACATTGAAAATACATACACGCCTAAATTTTCACCCGTCTTTCACCAACCCCCATTTTTAATAGCGATATTCTTACAAATATTATAAATGCTAAAGTAACTCAGTCTGTCTGTTTGTCTCGCTTTCACGCCAAAACTACTGAACTGATTTAATTGAAATTTGGTAGACAGATAATGTAGACCCTGAGAAAGGCTACTTTTTAATGCGAAAAAGTATTGAAAGGGGAAATGAAAGGCTATAGGAGGATATCGTTTTTTAAAGTCAGATCTTGTAAGATTAAGTGAACAGGGTTGGTCTAGGTTTTTCATTATTAGAAATGTGTAACGGGGTAACACGTTATTTAGTGCGAAATTGTGTATATTACAATAAAATTTAACGAGAAAATATTATAATGATGTCACTGGGACACTCATTGCCTTACTACTATATCGTCCGTTAGTCGCGAACTTTCTGGAAACACGAGAGGCGCGCTCCTATTGGTTAGTAGATGAGGTAGACGAGTCTCACGGCGCCGCAGCGTAAGTACTTACTATACATACGTAGTATACATATGGGTGTTACAAATGTTTTTATTACGAGTAATATTACTCTGTTATCTAAGCAAGTAATGTGTGCTTATTTTGAACTTGATAACATTCTGAACTACTCGTATATCTTTCAATATCTTTAGCGGTATAAACCAGGTTATGTACTACTACTAGTATTGTTAGTGAGGGATAAAGTTGATGAACAAAAATAAAACAATATTCGTATTAAAAATATATTCATCTAATATTTTTGGCATTATTTTTAAGTTTCTTCCAAATACAAGGGGTCTGACATGGGGTGTTATGTACCTACATTAAAAGATACTTTTTGAAATGTATGAAATGTATGTACCTACATTAAAAGATAATTTTTGAAATGTATGAAAGAAATGTATGTACCTACATTAAAATATAATTTTTGAAATGTATGAAAGAAATGTACGTACCTACATTAGAAGATAATTTTTGAAATGTATGAAATGTATGAAAGAAATGTATGTACCTACATTAAAAGATAATTTTTGACATGTATGAAATGTATGAAAGAAATGTGTGTACCTACATTAAAAGATAATTTTTGACATGTATGAAATGTATGAAAGAAATGTAGTACCTACATTAAAATATAATTTTTTAAATGTATGAAAGTAATGTATGTACCTACATTAAAAGATAATTTTTGACATGTATGAAATGTATGTACCTACATTAAAATATAATTTTTGAAATGTATGAGATATATGAAAGAAATGTATGTACCTACATTAAAAGATAATTTTTGACATGTATGAAATGTATGTACCTACATTAAAATATAATTTTTGAAATGTATGAGATGTATGAAAGAAATGTATGTACCTACATTAAAATATTATTTTTGAAATGTATGAAAGAAATGTATGTATGTACCTACCTACATTAGAAGATAATTTTTGACATGTATGAAATGTATGTACCTACATTAAAAGATAATTTTTGACATGTATGAAATGTATGTACCTTCATTAAAATATAATTTTTGAAATGTATGCACCGTACAATAACAATACACGTTAAACATCATACCACAGTCATACGCAAGTTAAAAACAAACTGCTATGATATATTAATGAGAAAGGAAAATCAACTTTATGGTATACGAGTTAGGGTCGATTTCTCTCTTTTTTTAAAATACTATTTAAATCTTACCAGTTGCCAGTATTCGAAGACAGCTACGATTCGTACCCGATATTTTAAATTATTATGTAATCGATTATTCAGTACAAATGTAAATAACCAACGACACTAATAATGTACTACTATATTCCGTTCTTTGAAACGGAACACTGCTATAATATATAATAATGAAAATTTACTGTTCACAACGACTCATTAAAAGCATCATCGAATAATGCGCTGTAATAAAATCCTGTTATCGATTATTCAAAAAAATCGATAATACATGTATTTATTTTTAATATGACAACACTTCATACATAAGTATTATTGGAAATAGTATTACTTGCTTGTTCGGCTATTTTTAATTTACTTAAAAAAAAATTATATGTTTAATTTACAATAATAATATATTAAGTGCTTATTATTGGAAAATATAAAAAAGACATTTAATTAGGCCGATACAAATGACGACAATGCCATCTATGAAAGCATTTTGAAAACATTGAGCCCCAATATTAGCACTGATTAAAGTGTAATTAAGTACTGGAAAATAACAAAATGAGTAAATATATGAAAATTACTTTTCTAAACGCATTATTTCATTTTAACATGTATATATAACTTTTTAAAAATTGATTAAACATTTTTGAAAACACAGTTTTGTTTTTTAAAACGTTTGCAAAACTATGAAGAATTCCATCGATACCAATCACGCCATCTATATGCAACTTTTAGCAATAATAATGGCTACTTCCTCATTGAGTGCCACTGGTAGTACTAATAAATATTCACCGCTTACCTATATCTCTATGCACCACACACACCTAACTTCATGGGATCATTGTATAGTAAGTTCTCGAACTTGTTCTCATATGGTAAGTACAGATTTAGGTGGCCGGTGAATTTTTATCATATCACCACTATATTGTTAGGACAAGACTATCATCATCTGAACAGGACTATATTGGCAAATTAAAAATTTAAATTTGGAATGTACTCATAGAATTTACCAGAACTAAAGTTACGTAACAGTCGAAGTCATCGCCGCTCGGTCAATATGCTAGAGCATTTGTGGAATTGTATTGTAGGTGCATAATTGGCCATTTTACCGAGTATATATAGGAGTTGTTATTAAAACTGGTAGATATGAAACTCAATGTCCTGTCTTTTGAATGAATAATTTAATTAAATAGCCATGCTACTGCATTAGTCCATAATGTCTCTACATTTGACTGCATTTCCAGGACTGTGCTTCTAAATTACAAATTACAATATTTAAATTTGGAATGAGTTATAATATAAAATTTACTAGAACTAAAATTAAACATAACGCGATCTCGATTGTGGTACATTGTAAGTACTTACGTAATTGACTGTTTTACAAAGTATTGTTGTTTGTGTCAAATGATATTAATAACCCATGAAATTAAATTCAATTGCCGTTTTAATTAATAATTTAATTAAATTGTTCGATTTTAGCAGTTCATAATGTTCCTACATTTCATCATTCGCATCGTCAGAGCTGTGCATTTAAATTACAAATTAAGAATATTGAAATTCAGGATGAGTCATAATATAGAATTCACTATAAATAATGATGTCACATGTATGGTTTTCACTTGGTCAATATATCCGATGAAAATAAATTCAATTACCTTACTTTTTAATTAATAACTTAATTAAATTGTTCGATTTAGTATTTCACAATATTTTTAATATACATTTAACTAGATTTTCAGAACTGTGCATTAAAATATTTAAATTTGAAATGAGTGAGTGAATTCAGTATAACCACAGATAAGATAATGTTACATCTACAACTAAAATTGCGTAACAGGGGATCTCGTTGCCGCTTGGTCAATATGCTAGACTCTAGAGCTCGTATTGTAGCAGATTGTAGGCGTAACTGGCTGTATTGTGGAGTTTTATTATTTGTGTCTGTTTTAATGAAACTTATTAAAACTAATCTAAATATTTTTATTATTAATAATAATAACAACATGAAATTGCTTGACTTAAGTAATTAATTATATTGTGTCCTTACAATGGTAAAATGGTGGTGACAGTAAACACACTCAGTAAGTGGAACTTGTATATTAACTGTTACATCTTGATTTACTCTAGCTTAGACTAATTAATAAGAATATACATATTAATAACTGGGTGACCTACGTGTCGTTAGATAAAACGTACATTAGCACAATCTACTATCGAATGTGCTGATTTGCATCACTATATCACAATATCCCAATACTTCACTGCAATTCCCAACAAATTTGATCCCCAATACGACCTTCTCGTAACTAAAAATTTGTAGTCTCAAACATGCGGTAACAGAATTAAACAAAATCATATAAATCTATTAAGTAGGTAAATGCTTGGTAACTAACTCTTATAAATCATAAACCGAAACCCATATAAAATCACGCATTGGATGACCGACATTCGACTCTTGACTCAATCTTTATATCCGGAGATATCCATTACGTTAGGATTAATAAAAAAATGCTCCAGTAAGTTCTGGAGTTCCACTTGCTTAATAGCTATTTTTATGACCCACATATATTTTTTATTTATTATCCTATAAATGTAGCGAAGATAGAGGAATTGAGAGGTTCATGGAGGAATTTATGAGGTGTTCATGCGGTATTGTTATTGCATTCAAAAATATTTTCCCTTATAGCTGACGAATTCCTATTATTTTATTGTTCTTTTTTTACGTAACTAGTAAAACAGGCCTTTCTTTTTTAAACCACACTGATGGCAAAATCAGCATATAGACCACCTAATGACAGGTGACAAACAGTTACAACCCATGGACTCCTCTAAAAACCCCTAACTGTAGTTTCTAAAGACATCTTCGGAAGGTAGTTTTACAACTTAAAAATACCCGGGTGGAAGCTTCTCGATAACCTCGAGTACTTACTGTAGCACTTTCATTCCAGGGTGTAATATATTGTAGGTAATACTCATGTCTTAGGTAAATCCATATAGTTATAATGTTGTACTGTGTATCTATGTATATGTATTTTATTTACCTACCTATATATTATTCACAAGGTATGAGATAATAGGTGGTAACTGTCATCTAATTATCTCGCCTACGAAATCCTAAACAACAAATCAAACCTATTTAATATTCTTACAATATTTAGCGAAAGTGATGATTAAATTCTACTTACATCCTTCTGTTTATGTGTTTAACATAAACAGAAGGGTGTAAGTAGAATTTAATATCCAGTAACAATGTCAACTACATATATTAACAATTCAAATTTCTAATTAAATCAGCGAACTGTCAAATTCTGACAGTTTCAGACGTGTACTGAAACTAAGGTATGCGGAATTTCATACGAATAATTCGTAGATAGACTCTATATTATGGGTAAAAACATCTAATAAGGACACGATATGGCCTTTAATCTATCAGTTTGTAATAAATGTACTAGTAATAATTCATTCCGCACCACAAAAACTAATTTCCATTGTTTTAAATACAGTTTGGTGGAAGGAGGAAGGATATTTTTTGTATTTGGACCCATTTGTAGCAATGCTATTTCTGGCCGGCCACTACGCTGCTCATGGAAACTATCGAGATTATTTCCTGGTGAGTTTCCCACAGAGTGCTAACTGACCCGACTTCACGCAACAGCGTCAGGGTGAATAGGCGGTGGAGGTTGATAATAAGAACTATCAACTCCCACTGCCTACTCATTCCACTCCACTCCTCCACTATCACATTATCATTAGATGTTGAATAATGATGATGAAACCGCCAGTTAAATATAACTTAGCCATATTTTATTTTCCGATGATAAAGTCAGAAATTACTAGCTTACCATTACAACAATATGAAAAATATATATTTTACCTGGAACTATACAAGCAGGACACGAAGCAAACAACATGTTTAATAAGAAGAAGGGCGCCCAACATAGCACGAATGTAAAAAACACTAGTCCTAGGACCTTGGTTGCCTTCTGTTCATTTGCCACCGCATTCGCTGATAGTGATCTTCCTTTCTTTCTGTTGGCCAGGAATCTGCGAAAGAGAAGCAATTGTTTACTTTTTCTGAAAATTAATATTTTTTACAACTGATATTCATAGTTTTAATTACAAATGAACGAATCAGAAAATGTCTACAAAATGCAATCAGATTTATACAAATCTTCACGCTAAACAATATATTTTATTATTTCTATATACTAAATATATTACATTATTCATTCGTCCTCTAATCAAAGTGAACGAAAGGTAAAATCGAGCTAATATGTATTATTTAAATTAATATTTTTAATTTCTAATTTTTCATAATCAGAGTAATTCAATATCAGACATTAAAAATTATATCGATCTACTTGTGTAACATAATTTGAAATCTCAATCTAAATACTTGATCACTTTTTACTCAATTAGTAGTCTATGACACTTATTTTATATTTCTTAAAATTAATATTAAAATTATAAACCTCAGTTGGCACCTCTGTTCTAATATTTCAAGTTGAACAATGACTTTGTTCTCAATACAAAGTTAATAAGTAATTTCTACGCTTTAAATATAAAATATCAGGTGTACCTATATTCCCGTGAATTAATTTTCAAGACTAATGAATGAGAAAATCGCACCTACTTCTAAATAATTTCACACAAACCTTAAAATAAATTCTGCTAAATTAAATTGTTTCGCACAAAATTCTGATCAAATTGCTTTCGATGTAAGTAATTATTGTGCTAAAAGGTATAAATTATGTAATATTTCAATTACGATGAATGGGTACATGAAGATATTAATATCCTAGATATATGTACAAAATCAATTAATACATATATAATATCTCTAAAATTTATTGAAATTTTAATTAAGTTTATAATTTCAGAATCAATCCCAATTTGTTTTATATAATTGGAAACGCAAACAAGGCAACGGCCCACCTGATCGTAAATACCTACATATTATAGCAGATACAGTCCTGCAGAAATTACGTTATCATATGACGCTGACGACGCAACGCCTCTCATGCTTCGTCATTCTGGAGAAGACATTCTCCCTGGGTTCTTATCCAGTAAATTCACTGCCTTCAATCAAAAAACGAGATGACTTTTTGCTCATACTATCACCAGTATGAGCAAAAAGTCAGGTTAGTGAAACTATAGTGGCGAATTCGACTGGATCTAACCGCGTTGGTTCCTAGTGGGAACCGCGTGACGATAGACTCTTTTTCGGACTATTCCAATTCTGTTGACCGCTACTGGCCTACACAGCTTCAGCGGACGGTAAAGAAGGTAGACACATTACATGCTAGGAATGGGAACTGCCACTTTACTAACAATACCCTGCCCCTTTTCTTCAAATTTTCAGGTAAACTTTACATAACAAGTAAGCCGACTAACGGTACTATTGTTCGATAATATTGCGTAAAGGATAATAAGAGTAAACAAGGGTTATAAAGGACTAAAATTGAAGGGTTGAACAGCAATTAGATCGGGGATCGAACTTCCTACAATTTAACTAGTCTATTTTATAGTAAATTGTATTAATGGAATAATTATTAGACCGAACCCATTTTATACATGAATATTTATGCAGAATAGGTGTACCCTAAATAGTATAACTTCACGGCTGTTATCTCGATTAGGGTAGCCAGAGGCATTGTTAATCATCGACGTCAAGGCTTGCCCACACTTTGTAGGGTATATTTTAATTCAATATGGAACAAACGATTCTAACGCTGTTTCTCATATTAATTTTGCCTACACATACATTACATTTTATATACTGTACATTTTCATTCAATATGAGGGAAGCCATCCCATCGCTGTATTTCACATTAATTTCGTTCGTTAAATATGTTTCTATGACAAGCAACAGACAGAAATATAAATCGACGCACATTTTCTCTTAATTTCAACCAGATTCGAAGTCACGACCTACGAGTCTAAGGCAGATAATAGACTGCTACACTGGAGCGTTCTCAGTAATACATTTAGATAATCTGTTATTTGATAGTACCCTTGATTTATATCCACATAAAAATTCATGACATTTCATGAACCAATTTTCTTTTTTATTACTTTAATCTATTTTTTTTACTATCAAGTAAGACATAGATCTATCTTAGTACAGTTTTTAATATTTATTACCCATATTTTTTTCAATCCTGCAATATTTTTTATATTTTACGGTATTATACCTATTCTTCCTTATTATATTACTATATTATTAATTTTTATATATGTACGTATTATATAATAGATATTTTTATCAATGCATTAGAAAATATTGTGTGGATCTCATTTGATTGGATGCTAATATACCATTATATTATACTTATAGCATATCATAATTGGATGTTAGTATTACTATGTAATATTATATTATATTATATTACCCTTGACTTCCCTTGATACGGTTCGCCTCGTTTTTTCTATGAAATGAGACGAATTTACGATCTTAAAACAACAGTACCTACTGATATTTAGAAATACAATAAGTAAGTAGTTGTAATATTGAAGACTTCTTTGTTGAATGTAATCTCTAAAAATGTTAGAATTAAATTTACTCTGTTTCCATTAACATCATGAATAGAAAGACATAAAATTTGTATCGTATTAAATTATCTATTGAGACCTTTGTGTTCGGCCTTTTTGTTGGGAATATGTAATTTCATTTACGTACCTATATCCAATTATCTTTACCTACATTTACATAAGAATATAAAAAAAAAGAAATCATTTTGAATTTTTTTTTACTAAGCTATATTCGCAATCACGGGAAAATATATCCTATTTTTTAATCTAGGATATGTATGAACTTTTCATTAAAATCAGCTTAGTCAAGCCACCAAAGTTTTTAATTAGGTTTTAATTACGCCCCTGTTAATTATTAAATATATATAAAATCTATACATATATTTAAAATTTTAGGCTATTTGAAATAGATAATACACTTGATTATTCTTAAGGCCATCAGTCTTAGAATAGATAAAAAAAATTCTTTATCAGTGTACTTTTCATTTATACTATATTTGCTCACGAGTGTAGTTTTTACATGTAGTGATCAGACAGCCATTCATTGTCACAAACTATCGCGTTTATAATATTTGTAGGAAGTAGGATCTATATCTGAAAATGCCGACGAAGTCGCAGATAATACTCAGAATAGAATAAGAGAACCCAAATAAATTGATAAAGTTCTTGTGTTTTAGACAGTTCTGTTAGTTAGTTCCAGTAATAACCTTCAAACTTCTACAATTCGGTCTTTAGAAAACTTACCTCAAAGTTAACGCGTTAGGAGTTGCCAGGGTTAACTTGAGCGGTCTAAGCCTCGCTCTTCTTGTCTCTGCTGCTATGCTGAGAGGAGTTTGAGTGGCGACATCTCGACCTCTTCTAGATCCCCCTGATCCGCCGCCACCTCCGCAGCCATTCATATAACTCAGTTGAGGATGTGATCCACCCATGCTCACTTTGTTACGTGACGCCCTGTTATAATTAAATAAAGTATATATATACATAGATGTCATGAGATCGACTTTGTACAAATTCGTCTGCATCACTGAAAAGTAGTCCACCGGATTTGTGATCCTACTCCAGATGGGCGACAGTTACCACTTACCATCACGAGGGCTGTCAATTAATTGCTATTACATAAAAAAATACACGTATTATATTATTATAAGTACAGAAAACTACCTATATATAACGTCTGTAACTAATAGACAACATCCATTTATATATAATTATAAATGGATGTTGTTATGATGATGATATATAATTATATAATTTCTTGCATACATACACTATGATATATGACTATGATATATTTTACTTCTTACGAGTAATGGTAACCTGGTAATGATGACCCGTAACGTCAGCTATTCAGATACTGACTTGTTGAACGAAAAATTTGGTTAACTCCTGATTCCTGATCAAATTACCTCCTCCTTGTTATACACGTTCCCTAACTAAGAAGTAATATTTTACAAGTTATGCTAACCTAATACTTGTGATATGCTACGTCAGTTGTATTGATAGTAAATTGCTCGGCAATGAGTCTAACTAATTTCTGTTACTAGATCAACCACTTCCAGTTTATATACATACAAATAAAGTCTATCACTCCCAATTAATATTTAACTTCTTACAAGTTATGCTAACCTGGTACTAGTGACTCGCCATGTCAGCTGTCTTGATACTGAGTTGTTGGGCGATAAGTCTGGTGAACTCCTAGTGCCTGATCGCCGGCCTCCTTGTATAGGAGTGTTGTCAAATCCTCCACATTGCCTGTTAACAATACATATTCTTAGCAAAACCGCAAATAAACAAGGAATCTTAAAAATATCCACCTGCAAATAGAAATAAAATTACTACACTTAATATATAAGAGAGAATAGTATCTATGTAGTGTTTGTTTATATTTTATACAAATGTAATCGCCCGGATACTACTGTATATATTAAGATGAAAAAGAATCATTAAAATTATGTTCTAAACTTTAAATGAAAACTCAAAAATATTTAGCCATTATTTATTGCCATGTAAAAACAAATATTATGAATTGCCTAATAATATCAATTATTGACATATTAAAGAAACATTTTAGTCTAAAGCACTATATTTAGATTTACTTTATTAAACAATGTTTTTATCAAAATTTGTGATACACTACAACTACAAAATAATATTACACCAAGAATTAACACGAAATCTTTATTAATTTGTTTATTTTAGTATTTTGTTTATTTCATGAGCCTTTAAGTGCAAGCAATGATGGGTATTGTTTATTAAATACGTCACGAAAGAAAAACAGTTTCAGGGACAAAGTTCTACTTATATATATCTGACTACCTTCTTTACAAAGAGAAAGAAGTTAAAGTACCGACCATATATATTATCTGTGGTACAGACGAAGCTGTACTTTCAGAATTGCATTTCGGTAAAACCGTATCTTTTTTAATGGTTTTATGGAATAGTGCTCCTCTTTTAACACAAATAATTTTGGGTAAAATAAGGTATTTATTTATCTCTATCCTGCGAAATTATGGGTTTGCGGTGGCATTCTACCGCGACTCCGTTGACATTGTCTCGCCCTATAGGTGAGGTAAGACAGGGATTCCAACCATAACACGATCCTCGTTCAAATACGACATTTATGATATTTTTACGAGATTTTGATCTATGAAAATCAGTGAAAATACTGTAATCGCTCTCTCCCTCTTAGTTTCTTATTTATCACAATGTGATTCGTGGTAAGACTGTACTATATTAATAATATGTACTAAACCCGAAAGTCGAGAGTGTGATTACCTAGTAGTTTACTATTCGGACTTAAACCCAAGAGGTCGTAAATTCAAATCTGGCCGACACCAATAATAACTTTGTGTTTGTTTGTATTTCTGATTACTCTCCAGTGAAGAAAACGGTGATCGATAGAAAAAAATAATCCGAGAGACGATGGTAGGCTGCGCCTATTACGTTGATTTCAAATATACCAGACGAAGTACTAAGTACTAACTACTACTTCTTACTACCATCTCAAGTATCTAACAGTCATGACCATACTTGAAGGCGAAATTTTAAAAGAGAAGAATGGTTAGTAACTTCACAGATAAAAGAAAAATGTATGTATATATTTTTTTCACCGTACACTACAGAACCGTAATAAAGACTGATATAAATAACAAAGGAGACACAATGGAGGATGTTAAAACCGTATTTAATAAACTACGACGGCAGGGATGCCAACCGTGCGAGGATCCTCGTACAAAATCGAGATTTTTGGTCTACGGGACGATTTCATTTTTGCACAATTTTGTACGAGATTTTCACTTACGATAGTTCAAAATACTAGTACGTCAATGATAGCCAATATAAGTAAAAGATTTTGTTTATTTTTTTATAGTATAGGGAACAAATGAACTAGCGGCTCACCTGATGGTAAATGATTACCGCCGCCCATGATCACCCGGGGAAATACAAGGCAACAAGCCTTTTAAGAAAAAATAAGCTCTTTTCTTGAAGGTTTCAATATCGTATCAGTTCCGAAATACCATTGCTGGAAGGTGACTCCACAATGTGGTTATGCGTGGCAAAAAAATCTAGTAAACACACGGGGAAGGACCGCCACTCATCCAGATGATCAAGGTGCAATTTTAGTTTCTGGCGAGTAGTGCGACGGTGAAATTCAGCAGCTGGTAATAATCCGAACTAATCCGAACAATTCCTCAGAACACTCTCTATTGTCTATTTTTTTTTTCGTGCGATGCTGAGCATTAGGGCAACAATTAATATATGGCAACCCTGGATGGCGGCATTGTACTCGTAAATACAGTTGTAAATATAACACTAAAGAAAAATAGATAAAAGCGAATTGCGAAGGAATTGGGTCGCACAAAAGTGTCTGCTCAAGGGTTAATACAATATAATATTGGTTTCATTTTCATTTCATTTATTCAATACAATAACAATATAAAGAACTAAATAAAACTAATATAAAAAAAAGTAAATAAATGTAGTAAAATTGTTAAATTTACTTTGTACTAAAGCATATTACATTATTAAAGTATATCTGATAGATACAATACTCTAGTGTGTACCTATGTCTACTTCTCTCATTTACAATGACCTTAGAAGGTACGTGTATTGTAAGTAAAGGTAGGTAAAGTTGTATTTATAGATAGATAAATAGATAAAATTTGTTTGCGTACGCACACAATTCACAATAATATAAAAAAGGTAAAGGTGTGTATATATATATAATATATACACAACTATATTGGTCAGTTAACAAAATACAATATATTAGTATTGACACATTCACCTAAGTTATGAAATTTCTCACTGCCAAGATATAATATATGAAACCTTCAAATGAATCTGTATAAAAATTACAGTTGGGTAAATACAATTAGTATGCCTTTTCCCATTAATACTCTTCAACCGCTTTCTGTTTTCACCCAATGGTTAGCTGGTAGAGATTGCCCATATGGCATTAAGCTCGCCAATTGTACATTATTTTAGAAAGTATAATAAAGGATAAAGATATAATAAATATAGGTATAAAAAACGTGTGAGTAATGTAATGAATATGAATCGTCCATATGCAAAAAGGCAATACATTGATTGCTCAGTGTATTGTTTTCTCAAGTAACAAACCCAAGGAGTAAAGTAAATGTACCAAAGAAAAAATATTACAAAAAAGCTGCTGATTTTCAGTTATTGCCCAGGGACATACGCTAGGACGCATGTAATAAGACTGACAAGACTATGTACGACAATAGGTCTTCTAAAGTAAAAAATAAATAAACTATGTCTGAAATTTTAAATTCAATACAAAAAAAAATTGAATATATCGAATTTTCATTTCTAAGATATAATATTTATAATCATGAAATATTTACCTAAAGGTTTCAAGTTTCTATTTGATTAATCACTTAAAAAGTTTATATGGTGACACTCGTTTTCTATCAACAAGGTACGCAGTTCAATCAATGCTTTTGGTTCTATTACATTGGTAAAGTCTCCCAATAACAGTCTTTCTTATATACAGTGAATACTTACATACTTATAATATGTATAGATATGTACTATACAATAACCTAACACTTCTAAGACAATGGAAAAATTGAATGGAATGTAACGCGCAGAGTGTAATTTATTTTTACCTGTTTGATGTAAAACAAATGGATTTCAAATTTAATGTTCATAAAATACACGAATTCCAATATGACGGATTATCAGTTGCGAGTAATATTACTTCCGGTATATATTCGATATTTTTAGGCAGAACTAAATTTTGTACAAATGCGTCTGTTATTTTACATTATCGGACAAATTCAAAAACTAGATTCGAATTTAGAATACAATAGTTTTTAAAATTAGGAAACATTAAGAAGATAATACTAGCAGTTTATACACTAGTATTCATACTACATATATACTAGTGATCATACAGTAATCAATACAACGATTTAAGAGAGTTAGCACTGGATTTATAAACGTGAAATTAATATTCATTTTATGCAGCAAAGCTAATGGTTCTAAAATAGAACAGCTTGCATAATTCCATCAAAACATGTTTTGTTCCAATTAACAATTCCGAGTATATGCGAAACAAACTTTCAAAATGAATCTATTCATCTAATTATTTGAAAATATTCGGTGATAAAAAAAAAATTATTTTGTGCTAAGTGACAAGTCGTGCAGACTTTTAATAATAAATCATTCGTCAGATATAATAACTCTTAAAAATTTTAAACTGTAATTAAATTTAGAACACAAATGCTTCCAAATTCAAAATTATAAAAGACTTAAGCTAGCTTTGTTTAAAATATACCACCAAAATTCGCGCCAATGTGGAAGATTTTAAAAGAATTCTTAATCGTTCTCATTTTTGGAACAAAAGAGTTTCCTTTATCGAGAATTTAAAAATGGATTTGTCGTGAAAAATATCACCTTCGGGCCTACAACGTAAGGGCCGCCTCAACTGAACCGACAAATCCCCTAGATGTCACGATAAAAGGGGTTGTAATAAACAATACTATTTCTTATATATATTATTTTGCTCGCAATGATACCATGGAGATTATTATCTGTCCGTTTCGCCTTATACATTTTGATTTTCTAAGAAACACACAAAGGTATCGAGGATAAAGCGCCATTAAAGAATTGTTTTCCTTTGATAAACCAGTGTAATTCAGTCTCAATATATTGAAATTCGATATTTATTCGAATGGCAGTTACCTATATTTCATTATTTTATAATTATATAAATAAACATTCTAGTTTCTTGTCTATTTGAATGAGTATTGAGGTTCAATATTCTATTTATACTATGTTTATTGTTCTATTACTGTTATATATTCATTGAATTCTAGTTAGTATAATATAAAGGTCTATTATATAATGTTATATAAAGCTCTTGAGGTACCTACCTGGCCTACCTGTGAATTAGCAATTTATTCTTAGAACAATAAATTGGTGTTGCCATTAATTTATTGGTATAATTAATTTAAAATAACTGAACCGTACCGTACAGTGTTGTTTAAATCTAGTCGTTTCGACACTGATTTATTTTGTTACTTAGTTTTATGTATTGTGGATTTTTTTTTATTAATTCATGCCCTTTGGAAGTTTTCAAGTATTTAGTCATTGCTATAGAATGCTATATATGACTATATAATATATATATACATATATACTAGCTGACCTACGCAATTTTATCACATCGTCTGCATCACACTTGCTTAAAATTTATTATTATATGAATAATTTTCCCCGTTTTTGAAACATTTTTCACTGATGCTTCGCTTCTATTAGGCACAGCGTAATGTTATATAGTTTAAAGCCTTCCTCGACAAATAGACTATCCAATACAAAAAAAAATCTTTTCGAACCAGTAGTTCCTGAGATTAGCGCGTTCATACAAACAAACAAACTTAAGCTTAAAGCTTTAAAATATAATGATATATATATTTTTTTATTTACACACTATGCAATATGTAATAGCAAATTTTAGTAATAATAATTTCAGACTTAACACCACGAGGTTTTCTATCAGTCAACTATAGGTAGTGCAGACTATAATTGCTGGCGGTGTAAATATAATAATGAATTAGTTACATATAACATATCATATCACTGTATACATTTGAAACCCAATCGTTAAAAGAAATACTTTCGAGGCGCTACAAAAACACCAAATATTGATTAACCGAACATACGGCCCATCTGATGGTAAACGATTACCTTAGCATTATAACGCTTGAAATACCTATGTATCACTTTCTACATAATTCTATATATAATATATAGTGTTATATTTCACTTTGTTGCCTATTTTATTATTTTGATTTGTATTTAATTTCCTTCTTTCTATGTAGCTCATATTTATTTTGTATAATCTTTTCACATAGTGAATATTTTAGATAATGTACCAAAGTATACAACTGCTAGGATATTATTTGGTAAACAAGACTACAACAGATTGGGACAATAAACTCCTAAACACGCAATAAACGCACCAAGTCACATATAAGCGAACATAAACATAATCGCCCATAAAAGCCTAATGTAATTGTTTGCCCTGGTCAATAGCGGTGTTTTGTTTGATAATTTACGATACCAAGAAGGTACATAATAAAATTTTAGCAAAACAGCGACCGGAAAATAAAGTCCTTTTTATCTTAGGCTAGGAAGCTGAGTTTCGGTTGAAGGGTTAAATGTGACAGTGGAATAATAGCTTTTGGTATGGCAAGACGTGGATGGTATTACGGTTTTTACAACATATTCTATGATGACCAATACGATGCCCACGGTTATTTGTTTCGATCAGGTAGGTCGCCAGATAATTTGGAGCATTCCAATTAATTAAAATATGATACTATACAAGATACCGTAAAGACGACGGATGAAAGACGACTGCATGCAACTGAAATGCGAATGTTGAGGTGGATGTGTGGTGTGACAAGAATGGATAAGATAAAGAATGAATACATTAGAGGGAGTATGAAAGTGGCACCGGTGTCAGAGAGGTTGAAGAGTAATCGTCTATCATGGTATGGACATGTAATGCGTAGGAATTAGGATAATATTTTAAGAAATGTGTTACATATGAATGTGGATGGTTATAAGGGCAGAGGAAGGCCGAAAAAGAGATGGATGGACTGTGTGAAAGATGATATGATAAGAAAGGAAGTAAATAACGCGATGACTGCGAACAGGGATGAATGGAGGCGAAAAACATATTACGCCGACCCCAAATAAATTGGATAAGGAAGAAGCAGATGATGACAAAATAGGTGATTTGGGTATATACAAAACTATTACATAGTTACAAATACAGCTATATAATTATGGAAGATAATATTGTATATTCCTAATAATCGCAGTCTTACTTATAGCCTAAAGGTCATAAATTTTAAAAAAACCGCTTGAAAATCTGGCCAAGAATTTTAGAATAATACACAAAGTATTTATATTTGTCACTCACTCTCCGGTGAATGAAACATCGATAACAAATTAAATTAATTCAAAAGATGGCGTTGAACTGTGCCTTCTGCCATGTTTAATACAAATAAATCTGATACGAACTTTGGTCACGTTAAATATTGCACCAGGATGTCGGCAGTTAATAATGATTCTGTCTACCCCGTCTAGAACAGAAATCGTGAAGTTATATATACTTTTGTAAGTAGATATGAACTCTTTACTAAAAATACTTTGATATTCCAAAGATTACAGCACTCATAGTTAACAAATGAAAATCTGCGAGCAAAAACCTTTTTCCATTTATTTTAAGATAATTGGAGAGATACTTTATAGTCGTACTACACTCGGCTCATTGTGATTGATGCTGGGCCCCGTTTGGCGACCGGCCAGAAGTTATTAGGGTGTTAATAAACTAAAATGGCCACCAAATTGCCGCTATATAATTGTATTTAAATTGGTTAGTGGGGTTAACTCACTTCAATTTGCATTTAGGTATACGGATATTTATTACAGTTTTTACCAAAATATTCCAGACAATGACGAACGTCTAACGGTTTATCACCTTTGTCTGATAGCTGCGGGTTCAATTCTCGCATAATATATTTTATATTTATGAAAACCATATATGTATATCTTTATATGTATATTATGTATTTATGTAATAAAAATATTTAAATTTGTATATCCTTTGGTCAACGAGTACTCATATTATAAGTTTAGCTTATTTTAAGTAGGTATAGATGGCGATGTGAGAATTGTCTCTTGTAATTTATTCATATTTAACAAGGAATTCTTTGTATTTAATTAAAATAATATTACGATATTTTCATTCAAAACTACTCATATTATATCTGACTAGCTATCCCCGCGATTTCGTCCACGTGGAATTTAACTTTATTTTTCTAAAATAAAAGTAGGCTAAGTTACTCCTTATTACATCAGCTACCTTCCAAAAAAAGTCCCGTCAAAATAGGTCCAGCCATTTCAGAGATTAGCCGGAACACACAGACCGACACCCAGACAGACAAAAATTGTAAAAAAATGTTATTTAGGTATATGTAACGTATTTATCATATGCATGTAGTAAAAACTGTTATTTCAATATTACAAATAGACATTCTAATTTTATTTATAATAGATGTATAGATAAGAATTCTAATATATCATATACATTTTTTTAGAATATTTTGGAGATAACTCCCAAATGTATTTTTGATACCCGGCGATGGTTCATCCAATAATAACTAGAACAAGTAAATTATATATGTAGATTGATAAAGACATCGCATTAAAGTAGATATATATAACCAAATGCTTATATTTGAACAAGCCAAACAAATCTCCTAAAGGTCTGAAGTACCTACAAAACAGTTTTAGCCGTTACAGTATGCGACTGTAGGAGATCTCTCAGTGGGATATGTCGGCCATTGTTATTGAAACTCTTTCATATATTTCTTTATACATACAACTCTGTTAGTAGTGAATTCTTCTGCTATTAGAGACAAAATAATATACTTGTGACACAATCTGTCCATGTGTCAAATTTTATCAGCATCCACTGAGTCGTTTATTTGTGAATAATTAAAGAAACAGACAGACAGCATACGCATTTATACAAAAATAGGCACTTAAATTTATTATTGTATAAATTAAATAAATGTGCTTTATTTTTATCCGAAGTTTAAGATTTATTTTTAACCTTGCTTCATTTATAATTAAGGAAAGTATAAATTTAGCAACACAATAGCGAATAACAAAAAAATCTGGATATCTATATTTACAATATATTGGATTTATGCGGCCACCCCGTATAAAATCAATATATTGTAAATATGGATCTCCAGATATTTTTATAATTATTTAAAAAAAAATCCAATTCCAACTGCCACAGCCGGGTAACGTATGAGTGGTATCACCAACGATACATAATAACATGATGGAATCAGTTTATGTATATAGGCTATGATCACCATCTACCATCAGGTAGGCCATCAGATTATTTGGCACTCAAATTGCATAAAAAATAGAAGAATAGAAATATAATTATCAAAATATCTGGAGACCCATATTTACAATATATTGGATTTATGCGGCAGTAACGTATGAGTGGTATCACCAACGTTACATAATAACATGATGGAATAAGTTTATGTATACCATCTATCTACCATCAGGTAGGCCGTCTGATTATTTGCCACTCAAATTGTATAAAAAAATCTAGTTTAAATAAAAAAACTTAGCACAATAGCAGTAAAATGTATAGAAACCTAAATACCTTCTCTGCATTCCACCAGGCACGGGAGTGGCGGCTAACCTCGCCTGCCTCTTCAGCAGTTGGACGGTCAGCGCAAACGAGACCACCATCGTCAGCATGGGGATATAGAATGCGACCAGAGAGCCAAAGATCCAGAAGAAACGATTGTTGATTACACATAGCTCTGGAGTTGGCATTATATTGGAGCGATTTATAAGACCTGTTGACAAAAAGAAAACATTAATAGTAATATTTCTAGTAAGTTCTCTTTTTTATATAAATGAAACGGCAAACAAGCTAACAGGCTACCTGATGGTAAGCAGTCACCATCGCCTATGTACATAAACGGCACTATGGACATCACGTTATCATGTGACAACCGTGATATCATTTATGCGTTGCTGTTGGGTTGTGTAATAACGGCTTGATTTTAAAAACTCCCGCCCACCTGTACTCGAACAAACATTGGTTCGAGAGTTTACGCATGCGGCCGCATGCGCACTGAGCGCCACTGTCGCTTGAACATCATGATCGAGATCGCAGCTGTGAGGGCTTTGTCTCAATTATTAATTCAAATAGCAAATTAAAGTGAACGTAACTAAGGACTTCACTGTGGAAACTATTTAATAACATCAGATAGTGTTAGTGTGTGTATAAATACGAGTCCCGGGACATGCACCAGGTGGTGAAATAATTCGATGAGTCGCCATCATTATCAAGCCATTTTTCAATATTTAAAAACTGAGCATATCGGACAGTTGCCCTTCCAGACTAAGTCATGCTTCTTATCCTGTAATTTCACCGCTTAATCTGCAGCCTACAACCGAAACACAGTTAATCTCTAATGTGACAGGAAAAACCACAGGCCAGAAAGACAGCGACATGGCCTTCTAGGCGAAATATTCAACTGTCTGTCATTTTCTGATTTTTGTTTTCAGTTTTACTCGTTTAAACTCGTGACGTAATTGTCCTAAATTCAGATAAATTCTATTTAATTTAGAGCTCATTTGCGATTCCAATTACATAAAAAACACACACGTAATTACCTAATAAATATCGCGAAAAGTTTTACCATATTCTTATCACCAGACTTATGTTATTTTTTTAAAAACGAGCTATAGATTTTTATAACTATACTGTATGGTTATGTATTTATCTTAAAAACAAAATATCTTACGATTAATTCATGAATGATTCTTGTATTCAATATGTGTATTACACACACGCTTAGTGTGTGTAATACACATATTGAATACAAGTAGTACTTAGATACCTATACCATACCTATCTTGCGATATATTTTACCATATTCTTAACAGTAAAGATTTTTTAATTTTTGTAAAAGCGACTATACATTTTTATAACAATACTGTATTCTTATGTATTTATCTAAAACCCAAAATATTAATTCGATTACGAATATTCGTTATATATGAATATATTTAGTATACACATCCACACGTCTAGAATATAGTTAAATATATACAAAATGTTATTTTAATTTTTTCATTTAGCATGTGGGTGATGTTACGCGTATTGAACTCAAGTGGTGCCTGATAACAGATAGCTTAAATGATATTATCAGTCAGTTGATAATATTTACTAGTGTACTATGGATATTACGTTCACAATAGGATATTGCAATAACTAATATCAATGGATGTTAATGTATATATATAATATCTCAAAGGTTTTTTCAAGAACGCAACGGCAACACGCAGTTAACACTAGTGTTTCAGGCGTCTGCCACCATAGTAGCATAAAAAAAATAAGAGAAACTTCTTAGGATTTTTTTAAAGGATGATAATGGAATGGTATTTACGTCTGCGCTAACGGTATACACTGGCGGGGCACCTGCAAACAATGTGAGTTATTAATCCACATTACTAACAATCCCCTTCTTCATAGCATTTCATGGATTCATGGATTCACTTTACGGGTGCAGGGTCCATCGTGTGGCAGATAGAGAAATTCCGAGCAGTTTCCAGGACTTTTGTCCAGTTTGTAGGTTTAAAAGATCCTTTGCCAATCGTACAAAAGAAAATCTTTATAAACGTAATAGAACTCAAAATTATGATAGTTGCTACTTTAATTTGTTTATCTCTTTGTATATACGTTCGTATGCACTAATCTTTAAACGGTATAACCGATTTTGTTGCAATTTTCAATAATATATTCTGAAATTCACCTCACTGAATTTTTGTATTTATTTTATACAACTTTAACTTTAACGATCTCACGTTCTTATAAGTCGCAGTATTGAACCACTAAGCCACGACGTTTCAAATAAGAAAATAAATTCTATTCATGTAATTCTAAGGAAACCTACGTTTAAAGACTGACTATTACCCTAATATCAGTCGGAAAAGCTATTTGCGCTTGTTGAGTTACTTGTACATTCGACTAAATATATATTTTTTTATATCAATGTCAGATATAGGTACTGATACTTCAAAAATTGTAACAAAATCTTTAGTAAAATATATTTATAAGCAGCTTCAAGATGGATTTTTTAAATTCTATCACCATATTCATGATGTAAATTTAAGTAAGAAGGAAGACCAAGATTTTGTTTAAAGAAAAATATATTTAAGTGATATATTTTCTAAGTTATTTCACTATTTTATATTACTACTAACTGTTCCTGCGGTTTCACCCGCATGAAATTTACAGTATATATATTATTCTGATGTATAAGCTATATTACTATAAAGTTTCATCAAAATCCGTTCAGTTTCCATACTCACAAACTTTCGCGTTTACAATATCAATTAGATATAATGACATACCGTTGCATTGCACTGATGCACTATGTAAGTGTATATGCACGTATTAGATATATATATAATTCTTCAAAAAAAAACTTTAAATTACACTGAATACCGTATTAAAATCCGTTTCGACGTTTAGAAAATACACCAGAGAAACAGACAGTCAAAACAGCGACTTTTTCTATGTATACTCATTAGAAATTAAAAAAATAATACCATAAATTCATTCTATCTTTGAATGAATAAATACATAAATTAAAATGTTTTAAAAATGAAATAGGAAATGTACAAGTATCTTTACGAAACTGCCCTGTTAAGTTCTCCTGTTGATTAATGACAAAAGTTTCGCTCGAAATACAAGAAACAGATTTCATTCGTTTCGATCGCCTCTATTTACGATCAATTACTCTCATTTAGAGATGTCATTCCTTCAGATATTGAATTTCAGTTGATGTCTGGCGACCTCTGACGTAAACGGTGTTTTGTCTTTTTTAACCAAAGTTAAGAAAGAGAGTTTAGAATTGTAATACATTTTATTCATGTTAACATTATTATCATATTAAATATCGTATTATACACAAATTGGAGTTACGGTTAGAAGCTTTCTCTGCTATTAATCCTTTTGTTTCTAATGTCTTTTTTATTGCTTTTTTTCTGTATAGGCGGTAAATTTGCTAGTTATTAACCAGCGTAATGTTATTAATTTCAATATCAAAGGTTTAAAGATTTAAACCTGCTTTAAATATTTTTCAGTCACGCAATAACTATACTAACATATATTCACTATTCGTAATTTAAAATTACATGCCTGTGTGATTTCAAATCAAATTAAGTACACAGATAAATCATATTTTAGGTAACATAAAAGATACTTTTTACCAAAATTCACGCAAGCACCGCCGCGGTATACACCTAGTCATAAATTTGATACTTCTAAAGCTTCTTCTGGAGCGAAGGGAATTATTAGTGAGGTCAGTAATGACCCTATTACCAGCAATACATCATGTCCGACCTCCACGCAGCCCTTTGGAAACCATCGTGATTAATACGCCATAATGGGCTAACCTGACTCCATCATCTTCCACTGGTGCTTCGCCAGCGTATACCGTAGCAAAGACAGGTGCAGAATTTAAGGAAACTACGGAAACGTTAATTCAATGAAATTGTTAATTGAATGGAATTAATTTCGTATGATGTATACATAACTAATTCTATTTCGAGTATTTCCAGATGTAAGATATATACATTAGAGAGACTTGTTTGTAGACGAAACGAGGCGTTAATCATACAAGAACTGAGATGAGATTATTCTCATTTTAACATAATGTGTTGCGGAGCATAGCCCGAGGCGCGACATCAATCAACAGACTAAATAGTTTGTATCTACAGATTTGCCATGCTAAGAATACATTTTATATAAACCCACCCATAGTTTTGTGAGTTTCATACATATTAATATTGATATAAATGAAATAACACATTTTTATAGCAATAATATCTTCGGACACAGCTCCATCTAATCCCAAGATAAGCAGAGCTTGTGTTATGGGTACTCGAAAACTGATATCAATACGTATATATTGTATACATTTGTTTTGTAAATAATACATCATATGTATAAACATACATTATATACCTAGAAAAATGAAAGTAATCTATAGATCTACTATATTATACATACGTGTGTACTTTATCGTTTGTTAGAGTCACAATTGGGTAAAATAGAAGTACCCAAGCAAATGACTTTGCACAAAGTTATCTTACGTTAAAGTATTTGTTATTTATATATGTATTTGTGGTACGTACTGTTGTTGTTTCTTGTGTGCTGATACTGTAGAATGTAAGTGATTTTTAATAGACTGCTTCAGGTTATTACATTTTGTTGAAATTATCTTCCGTACCTTACCGTTTGAGGGAAAATTTCTTCAACCACTTGAGGTAATGAGTTTTCCAGTGAGGATAGTGAATCTAGGTCAATGTGATTTAATTTTGCCACTTCAGATGCCTATAAAAAATATTTAGTCATAGTTTCATGATGTGTTGTGTTCAGAATAAGCTTTAGTAAAATTGGCTAATTACAATTAATAATTTATTATACATATAATATTTATTAGCCATTAATATCTCACTACTAAATGGGTCTAATCATATAAGACAAAGTTTACTGTTACCAAAGTGGCCGGGTGGCTTGGTATTCGGTTATTTTCTAAGTTTTTTTCTGTTGCCATAAATACATGACTTGTCTTCTTTTGTCGATTCTCGGGGTGAAAAAGAGTAGTGACATCCTGTATTCATACTGTATTATCCTATTGGGTTGAAGTTTTCATGCTTAGTACTAATTTTATTATTTATTAAACACACTGCTATTTCTGTGGTTGGAGGATGGAATAAAATACTTCTATTCTATGATTTAAACAATGGTAACCTAAAACTTGCTGTGCGTGCGGTT